TTTCTAAATTCGAAAAAAATCCCGAAGATGGTAATATATGCGATAAATATCCAAAGGAATCTATTAAATAAAAAACGCAAAGTTAAATACTAATGCGATTTAAGAAAGATATACAAAATGCTATTTAAATCGACTTACAAAAATATCCTACAAATAAGCCACATAAGTGACTTGCAAACCATTTATGATTAAATAAAATTTCCATCAATAATGATACTACAATAGGATAAAAATGTGCCGGAACTCTAAACAATCCAAATATGCTTTATAACGAAAGGAAAATAAAAAATTTTTACAGTTAATAATAAGAAGATCAAAAATAATAACAACTCGAGAATTAAATCAAAAACCATTAGTATAAGAGGATAAAAATAAAACTTACTCTCTTTCACGTCCAGCTAATTCTCTACTTTCCCAAACCACAACACCAAATATCCAAGCACTTAACCCTCCAACTCCAATTTCTTTATAACCGAAAATCAGAGAACCTAATAAATATAAAGAACTGAAAGTATCGTAAATATGGTCATTAATACATAAAAATATTCTAATGTACCAATAGTATGTTCTCTTGCTGTACTTAAAGGTAAAAATGCGAGTAAATTAAAAAGTATATTTCCAAGTGAATAATGTGGATAAGGATATGTAATCAAACGCCACACTATATACATACAATTCAAAAAAGACCATTAGTAATGTTAAGTAGATGCCGAATTTTACGCGTTAAACATAAATAAAAATTACCTTGCACGCTGTCAAAGAATGCTTCGGGTAAAAGTGATAGCGCTTCATAAATAATAAAATTGATATACATGCGATGGTTGTAGTCAGCAATGGCAACGAAATTATATAAGATATAAGACTAGAAGTAACAGTTGAAAAGGAAGGTATATTTGTTCGAACTTCCGTCATACTTGAACAGAAATTAAAGAAGCTTTTGAATTAAATCAATGCTGGTATCACGAAATTAAAGAATTAAATAATATTTAGAACAAGGAAAATATGAAAAGTCAATCTCGGTTGTATTTAACAAATTAGTTCTTTTGACCTATAAAAACGATTTATTCTTAATATAGAAACTGTGATGTAATTACTACCTAATAAAAACAAAATAAGTTAAATAGCAATAAAAAATACATTGGTTAAACTTATTAATGTTATATTATCCGATATATTTTTAATTGATAAAGCGTTGCTTATCCAGATTCATTTTACCATGACAAAATGCGTTCTGAATATTAGAGAATAAAAAAATGTACAATTTTAACTAAAAGGTAGCATCTAAATTTTATAGTTTGTTACCTATTGATCATTCATTTGTTATTAGTGAATTTTATTATAGAATATAAAAACATTAAACAATTATGT